CATCATCATCACCATCATTATCATTATATTCTATGACTCATTACCTTTGCTCTTTCCTCATCAAAGTCAACAAACCCAATGCCGTCTAGTCTCTGTAGGTCTATCCACCCTTTGAATATCACACACACACCATTCAGGATGAAATGACTTTTGATGTGTACCTACGAATGAGAAAATAGTCATTCAATCATCAAAATATGTGATAATTGATTTTCAATACGAGTGGCTGATAGAGTGAAGGCATTAAAGCCGTGAAATAAAACATACTAGTCAACGTGTAATAGTCAAATAGACACAAAAGAACAATGGAATTAGGGACCACCAAAGCGCATTAATCTTTCTATTTCACAGGTAAAATGCGGTCACTCTATACCACTCCACCAAATGCAAAAAATAATTGAGACATATATGTTCTATATTGATATATATTGGCACATCCCCCCCCCCCCCCCCCCCCCCCCCCCCACACACACACACACACACACAACTTGGGATTAATTATTTTCAGCGTTATCTTTGTTCCTGCAAGCACCTCACCCTCAACCCTGGGGGTGTATTAAGAACGAAATACAATCCCCTGATAAGATTAAATCTAAAAAGTTAAAGGTTAATGTGTTTCTGTCAGTGACCAGGGCTAAAATATCCAACACCCTTGCCGACATGTCTTCTTGTCAGTTTCAAGGTGGTAAGGGGTCAATTTCAACACCTTGTTAGATTATCTTAGATTTTCTGTGTAGAGTTTATGACACCCGTATATATAGCTGGTAAAAGGAAGATATCTTTTGAGTGTATTATGGCAGCTGGGTCAAGCCTGGTTTGAGAACATGAAGTATTTTCAAAAAAAATGTATAAAATCTTGAAAGAAAGAGCTTAAAAAAGAATTGAAAATGAACATTAAGACCGAATTTATATCTATGTAAACAGTAGTAATATTAAATTTCAAATTTTTCCCCCATCTTTTTACAGTAAGATTTAAGATAAAMTTTTGATATTGTTAATTCAATATATATACCTACTTGCAAGAACGACAACGTTCTTGCAAGTAGGTGTATATGATTTTTGTAATTTCGTTTTTGTGTGTGTGTGTGATTTCATGATGAATGTAGAGCTACCCTGTAGATATGTCATCATTAAACCGTTATTAATATTATTATTATTATACTATGAAGTTAACTCTTTGTGTTTAGAGAAAACTTTGGGTGGTAGTGGTTGGGGGGAGGGGGAGGGAAGTTTGCACTCTCATCTGTATAACTTGAGTACCAGCAAATTCTAAAGTTTTTAGAGTGCAAACGATTAATCCGTGAAACACTAATTACTAAATAGTACAAAAKAGTGCTAATTAAACAATAGAAAACAATGGAATTTGCATGAAATTGTGCTATTTAGTATTAYTAAAGTTTCACGGTTATATTGTTTGCACTCTAACGACTTGGGGCACCACACATGAACCTAAATCTCACTAGATATTATTTCTACAAATTTATAGCTATCAYCAATTCTTTGTTTTACTTCATTTTTTAATATATAATTACTTATTACAATATGTGTGAATAAACCAAAGTCTGTGAAGTCCTAAAAATCAAATAGAACAAAAGAAATAATACTCRAGTGAAAAGTGAAAATGTGGTCTGAAAATAGGGAGGAAACGTTGGTTAGTCCATTAAGAAAACTTATCATTTCTGGTGACATTCTGTTCAATGTCACTCAGAATTCACTAGTTATCAAAGCCAAGCCTCCTTTTTTTGATCTCATCATCATTCATGTAGCTGATTAATGCTATATTCAAGGAATGTCTCAGATGCTGAATAACTCGTACCCTAGCCCTATGTGTGAGGTCTATGACCCTATCCTGACGATACTGATAACCTACTCAATTATTTCTATCGCTTATTTCACATGGTCCCCTTAAGTGCATACTGTAAATCCATGAAAAAGTTAACTAAARAAATTGTAGAAATTAGTGCAAAGTTTTCTAGGTGTATGCTCTACTGAGGTCTATTGAACTTACAAATTTATGCAATTTCTAACAAAGATTTTTACGCTAGCTAGCTTCAGTTTACAAACTATATCGTCAAAATGTTATGCAGTGCAGCATTTTGGGATCCAAGTTCACTATTTTTATTTACTGTATCAAGCTTATGCTTAAAAAAATAAATGAAATTAGAATAAACTGAGAAAAAATCGTTTACTTCCACAAATTCCAAATTCATAAATTCAGCAAATTTAACGATCCATCTTTAAGAATTTTCTGGAAACCTTTAACAAGGTTATAATATTGTAAAATTATTAATTAGGATATAGCAAAATATACTTTTTGAATTGCCTATAGATTCTAGACTTCTACAAACTCTAATTTATTACAATCCATCTTTGTCATCTTTCTTTAAATTTTTCTAAAAATTTCGGTTATCAAAGTTATTATTTGTAAAATTATTATTTAGGATAAGGTAGGAAAAAAATTTTTGACTCTCCTTTAAATTTAAAAAACCCTGTCTACGAACTCTAATTTTATTTAATAGTAAATATTTATTATTATTTTACGCTTATACATTAAGGTTGTTTATAAAATGAAAATTACGATAACTCGAGAACTATTTACCTTTCTCAGATTATGCAGTTTGATTATTTTAAGTAATTTAAACCTAGATTTTTCAATCCATTTTTACTTACTCTCTGTATATTAATTAATATTAATATTTAAAGCAAAATTTCTTCAACAGAATTATTCAACAGATACACTTTATGTAATAATAATTAGCAGAATGCGGTTAAAGAAATATCTAAGGACTATTTTTCGAAGCAATTAGCGATATTAAATGACTGGCGATGAAGAGGCGAGCTTATCAAATTTTGAAGTATAGATGAACAAAACCATCGTCACCTGTCCGGATTTTTGATTCCATAGAAAAAAWACAGCATTACCAAAACCTGAAACGATCAGGAAATCGAAATAGCAGATTTTTTTTTTCTTTTGTTCTTTCTTACTTATTTCGCATTCATATCAGCTTCAGAGCTCGCGTTCAACTGAATTGAACAAAATCTTCTTACCTCAAAAAATAATAAAATCACAATAATGAATTGATTAAATTTTCTAAACGATTCTTCTTTGAGTTATTTCAGAGATTTTTGTTTTAAGAAAGGAAATCTTTTTCGGTGGATTTTAGAGATGATAAATAAACCGAGATTTGAACCGGAAGTTAGTTATTTTCATATCTTGATATCGGAACTAGYGTGGTCTAGCGTAATTCCGTTTTCCCTCGACGCAAGTCTGCGTTTATTCCGGAACGTCTTGCTAACACGGTATTCAACGAACAATCGTCCTTACATAAGACCAAAGACAACTACTTTTCGAAACAACTAATTCAAAAACTAAGTGATTTGTATTGAAGGATTCCCCGTCCGTGTTGTAAACAATACGATGGGGAACCCATTCTACTGCTACCGGGAAGCCATTCAAATCTTTTTTTGACAATCAATTATGTGTCATTAATTATTCAATGCTTTCCACCCGTCGCACGTGCACAAAAATATCTAAACCTTTCAAAATACCTTGGGACATTTCTACTTTATAGATTTTACCGGATATATATTCCATGCCGAAATATTTGAAGTAAAGAAAAAATGTTGTTTTGTGACGGCTGAAATGTTTCCTGTGCCGATGATGGTGAGAAAGATGAGACAGCTAACACCGAAAATGCGGTTGCAAGTTCTATCCAGAAGGGCTGTTTTGAATAAACTCATTCGGTAACTTCATTAACCAGCTGTTTTAGAAGAAAATTGTCTRAAATTACTCTTAAAAGGAAATAAAAAATTAACTTCAAAAGAAACTGTTTTCCAAGAGTATAAAACATGTTTGGATTTAGTAAAAAGTTCAAAAACTATTACTAGTAACAATCCTGGCAATATTCCCAAAGCATCTAAAACTGAAATTATTGTAAACAAAAAATTCTCAAACCCGCAAACAAGGTAGATGCCGACATATGGTAATCTTTTTTTCAAAAAAAAAAATTCTTATTCATAAGATTTTCAAATATTTGTGCCCAAGATCATAAATACCTTTCCTGGCTCTCTCTCAAAGTCTAAATATTCCTTAGAAATACTTCCATCTTCGTTCTTTGGAAATGTGAGGATAAAATTTGTTCCCGAAGAAACATATGCCTAAAACAAGATTAGAAACTTGGTGAGATTTAGACTAATTGAATTTTTTTWAAATTCCAACCATAAGTACGACAAGTTTTTCTAAAAAGTCAGTTATGTATTCCTTACAACATGAGCTTGACCATCGCGTATTTCTGTCTGAAATCTCACAACTCTTTCTTCGTGCGATCTATCTCTGTATGCAGTGTATTTTACCTGGAAAATAATTCAATGATTTTTGAGATTTTCCTTTGAAGTCAAGATTGAAATTATTTCAGCGATTTCATAGTGAAAGAAGTTGAAAGAACTTGTCTTTACCTCGGATTCTCTCGCYAACTTCCTAAACGTCTCATCGTTTTCATATTTTTGTTTTTGTTCCGGGACGACTCTCGGCATCGTGGCAGTAATTACTAACTATTTGTCGCGAAAATAAACTTGTCGATCCCAACACTGGTGTTATTCGTCTGTTTTCCTCAGATCTCACTTCTTATCAAACGTATTTCTTGCCTTTTTGAAACTTCATACCTAAAATGACGAAACTTCCGCTGAGCAAGGCATATAAAATCATAATATTCGGGCCCCTCGACTAAAACGACCGAGTGTCACGCCTATTGTGTGACCTGTCAATGTGATGCCAAGTCCCTGTGATCTGATTGGTCTAGAGTGGAATCCTTCTGTTAGTACAATAGAGGCACGCGCCGTCACTGGTGTGAAACAAAGCTCCCCAAGCTAGCTTCTGGCTTGCATACCGATAGTTGAGCGTCACAATACGGGTGCGGTAGATTGGTATACTTCTGCCTTTGACCCACTTTTAAAAGGCCAAAGATGTTTAGGATTCTACTATTCACACCCCAACAATCCTCACCAAGGAATATCTCTGTTTTGTAAAACATAAACAGAACTGAGAGTTTGGAATTGTCTTTGGGATTCGCTTGAAATACTGACCCCAACTTCTTGTCTGCGACTACCGGAAGTGACTTGAATGTTGACTTGACAGTATTTCCGGTGTTCTAGCTTGGCGTCACGTACCACGATGCTGGGTCAGTGAAAAGGTAATTATTAACGAATTAGAAGTGAGGAACGAAAGCAAAGGAGCCTAAAATGGACATGAAGATTTAAAATTATTGGTTGGGAGTCATGAATATTTTTCTTCCTTCCTTCCTTCCTTCCTTCCT